AGGGTGCTGCCACGTCTTGATCAGTTGCTCTGTGAGGAGCTGCAATGTCCTGTGGAGAGGCCCACTTGACGAGGAACTGAAGCCTGTCAACAACCATAATTGAGTTTGGAAGTGAATCCTCAGCCCCAGTTGAGCCTTGAGACGATAGCCCCAATCAACAGATTGACTATAACCTCATGAAAAGATATTGTCCAGAACCATCCAACTAACCCGCTCCTGGATTCCTGACTCACAGAAACTCTGAGATAATAGATGTTTGTTTTAAGCTGCTATGTTTTAGGGTAATTTTTTATTCCAGAATAAATAAATTAATATACAAGCAGATGAAATAATTGCAAAGTGTAATAAGTGCAAACACCAATCTGGCAGTAGAGCAAATGCCCATTGCAGGAGGTGGTGTGGTTAAGTGGTTAATAACATGGGCTTTGGAGTATGAGTGCCTGGGTTCAGATCCTGGCTCTGCCATATAGTAACTATGTGAGCTTGGCAAGTCATTTCCCTCAGCTTCTATTTCCTAATTTGCTCATAGGTAAAATAAAGATAATAGCAGTTATATTAAGGTTGTTGTGAAGAGCCAAGTTAGAAAAGAAAGGGCTTAGCACAGTTCCTGACACATTTTAAGTCCTCAATTTATATTAACTATTGTTGTCATTCTTTGCAGCTTCTAAAATATTTGTCATTCATATATTTGCCCGAGCTGTTTGCTTATTGTCCTTCACATTGGAAAATGGCTACTGAAGCTGAATGCCACTGCATAAATCTGTAGCTCAAATTTAACAGTGTAGTTGAACACTGCATACCTACTTTGTGCCAGGGACTATGCTAGGTTCTGGATAAAGCTTAGTAAGATATGGTCCATGTCCCCAAAGAGTTAGATTCTAGTGAGGAAGGCAAAAACCAAATGCATTTGTATAATAAAGAATTCTACGTCTGAAAGATTTGAGTTGAAGGATCTTCAAGAATTCATTACCAAACATCACTCATATTTGGTATACCCTTTGTTGAGGGGAAAAATCTGATAGTTTTAGACTCAGGAGAAAACGTGAGAATCAGTTTAGAAGTTTAGAAATTAAAAGACATGTTTTTATTGCTAGTGAAGGCTATGATTTATACTGGGATGTTGAAGCACAGACAAAAGTGGAAAGCTGAAATGATGACATGCTTCAGATCTCAGTTTAAATGTCACTTCTTCAGAGATGCCTTCTCCACACTCCCCTGGTCTCTTCCTTTAGGGCACTTATATACTTATTTGTGTTTATTTCCTGTTTCTTCCCTTAACTAGAGGATAAGCTCCACGACGGCAGGAAACACATCTGGTTTACTCACCACTATAAACTCAGCACCTAATTCAATCTCTGTACATAACACGCACTCGGCATCTAGTTCAATCTCTGTACATAGGAGGAACTCAGCAAATTTTAAATGAATGAGTGTTAAATGAGTGTTTAGAACCATCAGAATTCATAGTGAGTGGGTGAGGGCCATAGAAAACCCTGAGACAAAGGTAGCAGGATCCTGAGTTAAAGACATAATTTATGTGCAGGGTCTTTTCCCTCCCTAGCAAAGAAGAATGCTGCAAAGGCCTTGCCGGTTCATAAGAAGGGAATTCCTTTGGTGGGTGATGCTGTAGAGCCTCCTTCCCTCCACTCACCACACACAAAATCCACGAGCTGATGGGAAGGAGGCACTATTGTTAGGAAATAGAGAGTAATATTGTGCTTTGATGGTTGTAAAGGATACTGTTGGTTATTCATCTATTCTCCTCTTCTCCCTTACAGGACTCTGGTTCTGTTCAAGTAGCCATGCTTCCCATTGCAACACCTGTGACTCAAGGAGCACCAGCCCCACTGCCAATTTCAGTTATGGTCCCTGTTCCTTCTAGAACCCAAGCATAATCCTTTTGCATATTTCCCAGGCAGTTACTGATTGGGAGGCAGGGTGTATGTGTGTGTATGTGACCTAATTGGCTCAATAAAGCAGAAGGAAAGATTTTAGATGGAAAAGAAAGTATGTGGTCCTGATTGTTCCTGTTAGACAAATGGACAATCACTTTAGTATGAATTTGAAGCCTATCGTGTCTACAGCAGAGCAGACAGTCTAATAGTAACTGGATCCTTGATAATTTGTTGAGCCACTGAATTAACTAACCCTAAAGTCTACCCTGACTCTGGACTTTCTAGTATGTGTGATAATCAATTTCCTTATTGTTTAAGAAGATAGTTTGAATCCTTTTTTTTTTCCAATTATTTGCAGCAAAAGTATTCTAAATGACCCAAGGATTTTTGGCTCCTGGCCATAATTAGGGCAGCTGCACTCAGTGGGCAAGTCACTCTGCAGTCCTGGAAAAGACAAGCAGGAGACCCTTTGTGTTTCAAGATTTGAAAATGAAAATCTACCAGCCATTGCTAGTGTGAATACCCAGGAATGTAAAGGGCAGGTGGTGGAGACATGTTTGCATGGGGCAGACCCAGAGATCAAACTCACAGTGGCCTGGACTGCCTGAAAGAAGGATGAGTATGGGCCTGAAAGAACTGAAAGCCTAAGAGCTATAGTCCTGGAACCCCCTTGGGAGAGACAGGCGTGATTGATGCCCTCCCTGGGAAATTCCTGTTGGCCAGTGCCGTAGGACCTGCACTTACAGACTTATAATTTGATCAGTTGGAAAAGATGGGTTGTCAACAGCGCCACTATGTGGCTGAGAGATGCAATGACCATGGACAAATGAAACTCCAAGTCTTCCCTTCAGGTGTGTGGTAGTTGGATTGTCCCCTAGGAATTATTTTTTAACTACTTAACCCTCTATGAATTTTTGAAAATGGTGAGCAGGGGCTCTAGTACATTCTGAATTTATTAATCTGAGAAATAGAGAATTTAGCTGATTTTCTTTGGGGGGAGAAGGGGAGAAAAAAACTGTTGCCGTCAAGTCAATTCCGACCATAGCGACCGTATAGGACACAGTAGAACGCTCCATCGAGTTTCCAAGGAGCTGCTAGTGGATTCGTACTGCCGACCTTTTGGTTAGCAGCCAAGGTCTTAACCATTGCACCACAAGGTCTCATATTTGTATCTGGTGGAGCAGTTTTTACTGATATATCAGAGTGCAAGAAAATTAGGCTTACACATGCCAAAACAAAAATATTTCCATTGAATACCCCTTTTAAAAACCTGACAATGATTTCCTATCACCTATTGGATAAAATCCCAGCTCTTTAGTATGCCTCACAAAGCCTTACCCTCTCTGGCTTCTGTCTGCCTCTCTGAAGATGTGTCACACTTCTCAGCTTCCTCAGGAAGCCTTCAGTAAGTTCCATAATATTTGTCAGGGCTTTTTGGGAGTTAGGTTTGTGGTTTTTAGGAGGGGGGCGTGAGCTGTGCAGAAGGGGCCCAAGGAGAGCTTCCTGAGCACTTGTGAGCTAGGTATTATACTAAAGTGCTTTGGAGTTATTTAATCACACAAGGAGTTTTCTCTAAATACTTTTCCTCCCTGTATTGTCGGGATCCTCTTATTCACCGTTCAGAATCATTCTTACGCATCCTTCTAGGTTTTCGGTTTTCCATTATGGCTGCACATCAGAATCACCCAGGGAGCTTTACAAATTAGTGATACCTTGGTCCCACCCTTGGCGATGTTGATTTAATTGGTCTAGGGGCCTGGACATGAAGAGTTTTCAAAGCTCCACAGGTGATTCTAACGTGTAGCCAGCGTTGAGCCCCACTGGTCTAGGAAGGCTTCTGTGACCCCCTTAGGTAATCCCCTTCCTCCTTCCTTTCTACGCCTTACACACCCTTCTCTGATCACGCCTATCAAATTGTACGCTAATTTCCTAGTGTATGCCTATCGCCCTAACTAGATTTCGGGCATCTCCAGTCAGCCATCTCAGCATTCTTGGGAGCCTGATGTAGGCCCTGACACCTCGCAGGGATCTGGAAAATGTTGAACGGAATGGTGAAATGTCATCAACAAATATTTACTGGGGGCCTCCAAATGCAAGGCACGGCAGCGCTTAGTCAGGTCCGGAACATACAGAACAGACTGACTGGTCCTCCTAGCAAGAGCCTCACTTCACTGACGCCCTCAAAAGGAGTATTTCTGATGTCATCGGGGTAAATGAGGCGCCACGTACGCGACAAAGTGCCTGCGGTCAGAGCGTGTTAGCAGTGCGCGCGTGCCATTTGACAAGCCCTGCCCGCTCTTGTAGGGTTTGTGGTAAGCCACGCCCTCAGCAGCGGAGCCAACCAGAGGACGCGGGGCGGGCCCAGCCTCTAGCGAGGCCCGAGAGAATCGCTCGCAGCGCTGCAAGACCCGGCCTGGGCCGGCGCCTCCTCGCGCTAGGGCTCGATTGGCCGGCCTCCCGGGGCTGTGGTAACGGTCGCGGAGGCGGGTCGGAGAAGACCGAGCGGGCTAGGAGGGGGCTCTGCTGGTGGGAGGTGGTGGCTGAGGAAGGTGAGTGGCGTCTGGGGTTCGCAGAGGCGCCGGGAGGACCCCCCCACTCCGTGCAGCACCTTCGGAATTGGCGTCACTTAACCCTGCGAGTAGTCAGACTAGGCCCCTGTGAGGAGCTGCCCGGGACGAGGGCGCCCCAAGAGAAGGACCGCACAAGCCTAGTTTCGAGTACCGGCTCTGCCGCCCTGTGATCTTTGGTTTCTCCCTTAACGTCCCGGCGTCTCATTTTCTTCATTTGCATAATGAAGCTGGTAATTCTTGTCTTACATGGTGGTTGTGAGTGTTAAATGAGGCAATAAGTGTAAAAGTTAGAACGATACGTGGCATCATCTAGATTTTGGATAAGTTGTAGTTAACTGCGCCATCCACAAGAATCGTCCTGGGGTGGCCCGGCCCAGTTTCCAGTGTCAGAGGTCACTGAGAAGGTTGCTTGGCTAGTGGAGACTGCAAACAAAAGGGGGGTACTTAGAGGGGGAAGGTGAGTATCCCTTTCTCCGGTTTATTAGGCTCATTCCAGGTTCTGGGGGGAACCTCTGACTTTGTGCCACACCTAATTTGATTCTGTTAAGAAAATCAGTGAGGTGGAAATGTCAGAAGGCTAAGAGACCCGGAACACAGAGAACAATCGGAAAGGGTTTTTAGTGCCTTTTTGTTTTCTAACCACAATATTAAATACAGTGCAGGCTCTACCTTTACAGCATTCAGTCCTCTGCGTAAGTTTTTTTGTTTTTTTTCTTTTAATACTGCCGAGTAGACCGGGGCCTCCCTCGCCCCATCTTTTGGCGAGGAGGTGGCTGACATAGGGTTTTGCTGGCAGCTTCTGTTTCAAAGGGGGAAATGCTGTTCTGACCCTTTATGTAACTTCTTCTGAAGCAGAATGATTTTGCTGAGATGATCCAATCTTAACTCCATTCCCTTATTTGTGGTAGATTTAGGTCTTTCTTAGGAACATTAAACAGCAAGTTGGCATATTTTTGGAGAGATTTTTGCATCTAATAGAGAATAGAGAGTTTGGAAGCGTTATATGTTCTATTTATTGTAGCAGTGTGAGATACATACTTTGGAGGAAGTTACTCATGGTCTTTGGGTTACTTGAGAAAGAACACTTAATGGCCATAGTTTGTTATTTCCAGTACAGTTAATGCCATGTTTTCTTATTTCCTATTTTTCCATAGAAAAAGTGGGGAAAAATAATTAGATTTAATATATGAATGTTACAGAGGCTTCAAATTTAAAAAGGCAATTTGCCAAAAGACCTTTGGGAAACCTTGGAACAGTGCCATAAGATACAGCTGTGTTATGTTTCTCTAAGCATTGCTTTCTATGCTATATGCAAACTAACTCATATCCTACACCGCCCCCCCAACAACCTTCCAGTCTCCCCTGCTCCCACAGTCATAACTTTATGTTATGACACTAAAGTTATGACTTCTGGGAGGCCATAATCTTGAAAGCATTCGGTCTCTTCCTGTTACTTTTAAAGTTCCGGATGTGTCTTGATAGAATCTAGAGTGAGAGAAAGGCTGCTGCAAACTCTTGGCTGAACACATTCATTGGAGGTTTTGGTCATAGGTAGAAATGAGGAGATAGTTTTCTAAATGCCTTTGCTTTTTGTGTTTAGTGGTAGTTTGTCTGAGAGTGCTTTGTTTTAGTACACTTGCAAAGGAGAATATTCTGCTTTTGCATCCAAAGGTCAGAAAGCTGATCCTTTAACCACTGATGATAGGATGGATCCCTAGCTAAATGTTTTCAACAAATTGGGAGAGGAAAGAATGAAAAGGAAAAAGTACATGATAGTGAGTCATGGAAGCCATTAGCAGTTAACTTCAGTTGTACCAGCTTCAGACCAATGGTTAGCAGTACCACAGATGTCTGCTCTGGGGATAATGGCACAAGACCTTTCTTACTAGGAGCTAGGAGGTTGAACATTTCAAGATTTTGGTCTGTTTATCTTTTTGGAACCTAGATGAAGATCAAGTGTTGGACCTGAGACTTACTGGGTGATCATTCCATCGAGATAAACTTGAATAAGTAAAAGGAATCTGCTAAAACTGAGATATGTCTAATGTGACAGATGACTCTCTATGGATGTTAGGAGGCCATAAGCATAGAAAAGATCTAGTATTTATTGAATACTAGGTATATTATATATATTTCCTTTTGACATCATGATAATCCAACAGGTAGGTGATATTTTAAACTAAGTTAAGGGAACAGAAGCTCAGAGAGGTTAAGTAACTACTTAAGATAACTCAGATAGGTGGTCACCAACCCTAATCACCACCTCTGTCCTGCTGTGAGCCAGGCAGTACTCTATGTTCTTTCCTAATCTTCACTCTCTTAATCTTCACAGTAACCCTATGAACTAGGTACTTACATCATTCTCATTTTACCATGAGGAAATGGAGGCAAAGAGATATTAAGTAACTCTCCTGGCGGTGTGGTAGAGTCTGCAGTTTGAAGAGTTTGAACCTGGGCAGTGTGACTACAGAGCTATACCAGCTTTCTTTTGGTTAGTATTTCCTTTACGTTTAAAAGATTGTATTTTTAAAAATCTTTCTATTGTAAAATGAAGTTTTTTAAAAAACTTTTTATTTATTTTTTAAATAATATTTTATTAAGTTTTTGGTGAAAGTTTACCTAGCAAGTTAGATCCCCATTTGACAATTTCCACATAAATTTTTCAGTGACATTAGTTACATGTATCATAACGTGTCAACATTCTGTGTTCAGTTTGTTCCATTTCCAGTACTCTAGTTTCCCTGCCCCCTTATCTTCTCATCTTTACTTTTTTTTTAATTGTACTTTAGAAGAAGGTTTACTGAGCAAACTAGCTTCTCATTAAACAATTAATACACATATTGTTTCGTGGCATTGGTTGCCAATCCCACGACATGGCAACTCTCTCCCCTTCTCTACCTTGAGTTCCCTATTACCAACTTTCCTATCCCCTGCTGCCTTCTTGTCCTTGCCTCTGGGCTGGTGTGCCCATTTACTCTTACTTTGTTTTATGGACCTGTCTAATTGTTGGCTGAAGGGTGAACCTTGGGAATGACTTCATTACTGAGCTAAAAGGGTGTCCAGGGGCCATATTCTTGGGGTTTCTCCAGTCTCTGGCAGACCATTAAGTCTGGTCTTTTTTTTGTGAGTTAGAATTTTGTTCTACATTTTTCTTCAGCTCTGTCCAGGACCCTCTGTTGTGTTCTCTGTCAGAGCAGTCAGTGGTGGTAGCCGGGGACCATCTAGTTATACTGGACTCAGTCTGGTGGAGGCCACGGTAGTTGGGATCCATTAGTACTTTGGACTAATCTTTCCCTTGCGTCTTTAGTTTTCTTCATTTTCTCTTGCTCCCGAAGGGGTGGGACCAGTGGGGTATCTTAGATGGCCACTCACAGGCTTTTAAGACCCCAGACGCTACTCACCAAGATAGAATATAGAACATTTTCTTTATAAACTATGTTATGTCAGTTGAGCTAGATGTTCCCCGAGACTGTGGTCCCCACAGCCCTCAGCCCAGCAATTCGATCCCTCAGAGTTGGGATATGTCTATGGAGCTTCCATGACCTTGCTTTGTACAAGTTGTGCTGGCTTCCCCAGTATTATGTACTGTCTTACCCTTCACCAAAGTTACCACTTATCTATTGTCTATTTAGTGCCCCCCCAACCCCTCCCGTCCCTCGTAACCATCAAACATTGTTTCTTTTTGTGTGTAAAGCTTTTCATGAGTTTTTACAGTAGTGGTCTCAGACAGTATTTGTCCTTTTGTGATTGACTTAATTTTAGTCAGTATAGTGTCCTCCAGTTTCATCCATGTTATGAGATACTTTGCAGATTCGTCATTATTCTTTATCATTGCATAATACTGCATTGTGTGCATGTACCATAGTTTGTTTATCCATTCATCTGTTGATGGGCATCTAGGTTCTTTCCATCTTTTTGCTATTGTGAACAGTGCTGCAATGAATATGGGTGTGCATGTGTCTGTTCGTGTGACAGCTCTTATTTCTCTAGGATATATTCCTAGGAATGGGATTGCTGGATCATATGGTATTTCTATTTCTAGCTTTCTAAGGATTCACCATATCATTTTCCAAAATGGTTGTATCCTCTTCCATTCCCACCAGCGGTGCATAAGAGTTCAGATCTCCCCGCAGCTTGTCCAACATTTGTTATTTCCAGTTTTTTTGATTCGTGCCAGTAATGTTGAGGTGAGATGGTATCTCATTGTGGTTTTGATTTGCATTTCTCTAAGGGCTAGTGATTGCAAGCATTTCCTCATGGGTCTGTTGGCCACTTGAATGTCTTCTTTGGTGAAGTGTCTGTTCATTTCCTTTGCCTGTTTTTTAATTGGATTGTTTATCTTTTTGTTGTAGAGTTGTTGGATTTTCTTTTAATTTTAGAGATTAGACCTGTGTCTGATTTGTAATGGCCAAATTTTTTTCCCCAGTCTGTACATTCTATTTTTACTTTTTGGTGAAGTGTTTTTTTCTTTTAAAAAAAAATTTTTTTTATTGTACTTTAGATGAAGATTTATAGAACAAATAGTTTCTCATTAAACAGTCAGTGCACATATTGTTTTATGACATTGGTTAACAACCCCACGACATGTAAACACTCTCCCTACTCGACCTTGGAGGACTTTTTTTTTTTTTGGTGCAAATATATTAGCCAAAGTTACAGCATTTCAAAAGTTTTTACATGTATAATTCAGTGACATCAATTACATTCTTCCAGTTGTGCTGCTATTCTCACTATCCTTTTCCAAATTATTGCATCACCTTTATCTTTAACTCACTGCCCACTGCCGACTCACTTCCCATCAAACCTTTTGAGTGCTGTTGTCAATTTGATCTCACATAGATAATTCTTTTTTTTTTGGTACCTTAGATGAAGGTTTACAGAACATAATAGTTTCTCATTAAACAGCTAGTACACATATTGCCCTATGACAATGGTTAACAACCCCATGACATGTCAACACTGTCCTTTCTCAACGTTGGGTTCCCTATCACCAGCTTTCCTGTCCCCTCCTGCCTTCTAGTCCTTGTCCCTGGACTGCTGTGCCTCATTAGTCCCTTTTTGTTTTACGAGGCTGTCCAGTCCCTGGCTGAACAGTGAACTTCAGGAGTGACTTCACCACTGAGCTAAAAGGGTGTCTGGGGGCCATACTCTCGGGGTTTCTCCAGTCTGTCAGGCCAGTAACTCTGGTCTTTTTTTTTTGTGAGTTAGAATTTTGTTTTACAGCCTTCTCCAGCTCTGTCCAGGACCCTCTATTGTGATCCCTGTGACAGCAGTCAGTGGTGGTAGCTGGGCACTATCTAGCTGTACTGGACTCAGTCTGGTGGAGGCCATGGTAGCTGTGGTCTATTAGTCCTTTGGACGAATCTTTTCCTTGTATCTTGTTCTCTTCATTCTCCCTTGTTCCCGAAGTGGGGAGACTAGCGGAGTATCTTAGATGAGTGCTCACAGGCTTTTAAGACCCCAGACACTACTCACCAAGGTAGAATGTAGAACATTGTGGTTATAAACTGTGTTATGCCCGTTGAGCTAGATGTTCCCCAAGACCATGGTCCCTACAGCCCCCCACCCAGCAATTTAGTTCCTCAGGTTAGTTTGAAGTATCTCTGGAGCTTCCATGACCTTTCCTTTTACAAGTTGTGCTGGCTTCCCCAGTATTGTGTACTGTCTTACCCTTCACCAAAATTACAACTTATCTCTTGTCTATTTAGTTCCCCCTGCACCACTCCCATCTCTCCTAACCAACAAAGATTGTTTCTTTTTGTATGTAAACTTTTACATGAGTTTTTATAGTAGAAGTCTCATGTCTCATACAATAATTTTCCTTTTGTGATTGACTTATTTCACTCAGCATAATGTCCTCCAGTTTTATCCATGTTATGAAATGCTTCACAGATTCATCATTGTTCTTTATCTTTGCATAGTACTCCATTGTGTGTATGTACCATAGTTTGTTTATTCATTCATCTATTGATGGGCGTCTAGGCTGTTTCCATCTTTTTGCTATTGTGAACAGTGCTGCAGTTAATATGGGTGTGCATATGTCTATTCGTGTGACAACTCCTATTTCTCTAGGATATATTCCTAGGAGTGGGATTGCATTTAGTAGTACTTTTTTTTGTGGTGCTGACGTTTTCTTTGTTCCTATTACTCTCCTGTTCTGAGTTCCGTTTGTTTGTGGATATTTTTTTCATTTCTTTTGTTTTTGTAGGTTTTGTTTTTACTGAGACTTTATGTTTTTCTTCTTTTTTTTTTTTTTGATGAGTAGGTTTGTTAACTTTATTTGTGGTTACCTTGAAATTTACCCTTATCTTCCTAGATTTGAACCAGTCTGTTATTACTTGGTATTGCCTTGCCTTCCTCTGCATTAGAAGGTTCTATACCTCCACCGTTTATTCCCTCTTTTATTGTTCTGTTGTTGTTGCCATTTACAGATTAACCTCTCTGGTTCCCTGTTGTAATTCCTTTGGTTTTGCATAGCCCTTAAAAGTTCATTTCCTAGGTAGTATCTGGCTAGTACAATCCTGTGTTCTGTATTCAGCCTGTTATCTGATGTTGTATGTTCTCAGATTGAAGGACTCCCTTTAATAAGTCTTGGAAGTTTGGTTTGGTTTTTACATAGTCCCTTAATTTCTGTTTGTCTGGAAATGTCCTTATTTCACCATAATATTTGAATGAGAGTTTTGCAGGATATATTATTCTTGGTTGGCAGTTTTTTTCTTTCAAGGTCTTATGTGTGTCATCCCATTGCCTTCTTGCCTGCATGGTTTCTGCCGAATAATCCGAGCTTAGTCTTACTGTTTCTCCTCTGTATGTGACTTTTTGTTTTTCTTGAGCTGCTCTCAGGGTTCTTTGTTTGTCTTTGGTTTTAGGGAGTGTGATTATGATATGCCTTGGTGATTTTCTTTTGGGGTCTATCCTTTATGGGGTTCGTTGAGCTTCTTGGATGGTCAGCTTTTCATCTTTCATGATATTGGGAACGTTTTCTGTCAGCAGTTCTTCGATGATCCTGTCTGTGTTTTCTGTTTTCTCCCCCTGTTCTGGAAATCGGATCACTCGCAGATTTTTGCTTTTGATTGTATCCCACATAATTCTCAGGGTTTCTTCATTTATGTTCTTTATTCTGATTTTTCCTCAGAGTTGTATCCAAGTGTTTGTCTTCAATTTGGCTGATCCTGTCTTTCATCGTTTCAAACCTGCTCCTCAGCCCTTCTATGATACTGTCCATTTCTGAAATCTAGTTATCTTTTGGATTTCTGATTGTTTTTGTATGATTTCTGGTTGTGAATTTATTTAAACATTTTGTTCCTGTACTATTTTCTTGAATTCTTCCATTTTTTGGTCTGTATTTTCCATGAATTTGCCTGCCTTTTCCATGAATTTGTCTATTTTTTCCCCATTTTTGACTGTTTCTTGCTTCAACTCTTGGATAATTCTGAATACTGGAGATATGAATTCCCTATCAGTTAGGTCTAGTGCCTTTTCTTCTACTGG